ACCGCAGCTTGCAGGGAGAATACACTCCCAGCTTCTTTAAAGAACACAAGTAACCTCTCAAATTTCCAAGCAACAAAAAAAAGAATTGTTTACAACGCTATGACTTCAAACCAAACCGGAGCTGATTCTGTGTTAAAAAAGCAAGCAACGACCGACGGGAACCATGCAAGTTCTTTAAGTGACACCAATAGAATTTCTGACTTAGACACTGCAAACAAGGAAAAAAGTGGAAATCCCACGCCTGTGTTTGGTCATGGTGCCATAACGTCGTACCAACCCGAGGTTGACCCAGTTGCAGAAAACCCAGCAGCAGGTTTTAGGCACAGTACACTCCCAGCTTCTTTAAAGGACACAAATAAAGGCTCAAATTTCCAAACCACAAAAAAGAGAATTGTTTACAGTGCCATGACTTCAAACCAAACTGAAGCTGATTCTGCTGTGAATAAGAAAGAACCAACCTCTGGAGACAATGTACTTTCTGCTCCCTTAAGTGACACAAATAAAGTTGTAGACACTGCAAACAGCAAACAATTTATAAATCCCACACCTGTGGTTGGTCATGGTGCCATAACTTTGAACCAATCTGAGGTTGGCTCAGTTGTGGAAAACCCAACAGTTACTTGCAGAGACAATACACTCCCTGCTACTTTAAAGAACACAAGCAACGTCTCAAATTTCCAAGCAATGAAAAAGAGAATTGTTTACAGCGCCATGACTTCAAACCGAACCGGAGCTGATTCTACTCTGAGTAGGCAAGCAACAACCTGTGGGGACCATACAAGTTCTCTTCTTTTAGGTGACACAAATAACGTTTCTGACTCTGATACAGCAAACCGGGAAAAAACTAGAAATCCCACACCCGTGGTTGGTCATGGTGACATAACTTCAAATCAATCTGAGGTTGGCTCATTTGTGGAAAACCGAGCATTAACTTGCAGTGACAATACACTCTCAACTTCTTTAAAGAACACAAATAACGTCTCAAATTTTCAAGCAACAAAAAAAAGAATAGTTTACAACGCCATGACTTCAAACCAAACCGGAGCTGATTCTGCTGTGAATAAGCAAGCAACAATATGTGGAGACAATACACTTTCTGCTCCCTTAAGTGACACAAATAAAGTTTTTGAATCAGACACTGCAAACAGTGAAAAAATGAGAAATTCTACATCTGTGGTTGGTCATGGTGCCATAACTTCGAACCAAACCAAGGTTGACTCAGTTGTGGAAAACCCAACAGCAGCTTGCAGGGACAATAAACTGCCTGCTTCTTTAAAGAACACAAATAGTGTCTCAAATTTTCAAGCAACAAAAAAGAGAATGGTCTACAGCGCCATGACTTCAAACCGAACCAGAGCTGATTCTGCTTTAAAAAAGCAAGCAACGACCGATGGGGACCATACAAGTTCTCCTTCTTTAAGTGGCACCAAGAACATTTCTGACTCAGACACTGCAAACAGGGAAAAAACTAGAAATCCCACACCTGTGGTTGGTCATGGTGCCATAACTTCAAACCAAACCGAGGTTGACTCCGTTGCTGAAAACCCAACAGCAGCTTGCAAGGACAATACATTTTCTCCTCCTTTAAGTGATACCAATAAAGTTGCTGACTTAGACACTGAAAACAGGGAAAAAGCTAGAAATCCGAAACTGTGGTTGGTCATGGTGCCATAACTTCGAACCAACCTGAGGTTGACTCACTTGTGGAAAACCCAACAGCAGCTTGCAGAGACAATACACTCCCAGCTTCTCTAAAGGACTCAAATAACGTCTCAAATTTCCAAGCAACAAAAAAGAGAATTGTCTACAGCGCCATGACTTCAAACCGAACCAGAGCTGATTCTGTTTTGAATAAGAACGCAACAATATGTGGAGACAATACACTTTCTGCTCCCTTAAGTGACACAAATAAAGTTTTTGAATCAGACACTGCAAACAGCGAAAAAATGAGAAATTCTACATCTGTGGTTGGTCATCGTGCCATAACTTCGAACCAAACCAAGGTTGACTCAGTTGTGGAAAACCCAACAGCAGCTTGCAGGGACAATAAACTGCATGCTTCTTTAAAGAACACAAATAATGTCTCAAATTTTCAAGCAACAAAAAAGAGAATGGTCTACAGCGCCATGACTTCAAACCGAACCAGAGCTGATTCTGTTTTGAATAAGAACGCAACAACCTCTGGAGACAATATATTTTCTGCTCCCTTAAGTGACACAAATAAAGTTTCTGATTCAGACACTGCAAACAGCGAAAAAATTATAAATCCCACACCTGTGGTTGGTCATGGTGCCATAACTTCAAACCAAACTGAGATAGACTCAGGCATGGAAAAGCCAACAGCAGCTTGTACGGAGAATACATTCCCAGCTTCTTTAAAATACATAAATAACGTCTCAAATAGAGCAACAAGAAAGAGAAAAATTGAGGACTCCAATGGTGTGACGAGTCACAGCCCCATCACTACAAACCATACTGAAACTAGTCCAGATTCGAGTAACCCAACACCAACTTGCAGGCTTGATTCACTCCTTGCACTCTTAAAGAACAGTATGAGCAAATCACCAAAAAAATTGAAAAACTCTACAACTGTGGTTGATCACAGCACCATCATCTCAAACCAAACCAAATCTGACTCCATTTTAAATACCCCAACAACATCTTGCAGTGATAGTGCACTCCCTGCCCCTTTAAAGGGTACAGATACGGTCTCTAATATTGACACAATGAAAAATAAAATGAAGACCTCCAGGTCAGTTTTTGATTACAGTACCATAACTTTAAACCAAAGCAAAGCTGACTTTGCTGTGGATAAACTAACATATCAAAGGATATATTTACCCATTGTTCTGTTAAAGGACATAAATAAAGTCTACAATTCTAAAGAAACACAAAAGGCTAACATTCAGAACTCCCAGTCTGTGGTTGGTCACAATGCTGTAACTTCAAACCCAAGCAAAACTAAATCTGCTGTGGATGACCCAACAACATCTCGAAGGGTAGAGTCACACAATGCTCTTTTAAAGGACACAAAAAACATCTCCAAATATGAGGAAACCAATAAGATTACAATTAGGATCTGCAAGTCAGCGGCTGGTAACACTACCATAACTTCCATCCAAAGCAAAGCTGGTTCTGCTGTGGATAACCCAAAATCTGGTAGGGTAGATTCACAAACTGCTCTTTTAAAGGACACAAATAGTGTTTCTGATTATGAAGAAACAAAAAAGAATAAAACTAAGAAATCCAAGCCTGTGGTTGGTTACAATACCAGAACGTCAAACCAAAGCAAAGTTGGCTCTGCTGTGGATAACCCAACAACATCTTATAGGATAGATTCACACATTGCTCTTTTAAAGGACACAAAGAGTGTCTTCAATTATGAGGAAACAAATAAGATCAGAATTAAGATCTCCAAGTCCGTTATGGGTCACAGTGACACAACTTCCATCCAAAGCAAAGTTGACTCTGCTGTAGATAACCCAACATCATCTCGTAGGGTAGATTCAAAAATTGCTCCTTTAAAGGACACAAATGATGTTTCCAATTGTGAAGAAACAAACAAGAATAAAACTAAGAGCTCCAAGCCTGTGGTTGGTTACAATACCAGAACTTCAAACCAAAGCAAATTTGACTCTGCTGTAGATAACCCAACATCATCTCGTAGGGTAGATTCGCAAATTGCTCTTTTAAAGAACGCAAATAATGTCTTCAATTATGAAGAAACAGCTAAGAATATAATTAGGATCTCCAAGCCTGTGGTTGGGCACAGTGCCATAACTTCCATCCAATACAAAGTTGACTCCGCTGTAGACAACCCAACAACATCTCGTAGGGTAGATTCGCAAATCGCTCTTTTAAAGGACACAAATGTCTCCAAGTATGAAGAAACAAGCAAGAATAAAACTAGGAGCTCCAAGCCTGTGGTTGGTCACAGTACCCTAATTGCAAACCAAAGCAAAGTTGACTCTGCTGTAGATAACCCAACACCTCATAGGGTAGATTTGCAAATTGCTCTTTTAAAGGACACAAATGATGTCTCCAAGTATGAAGAAACAAGCAAGAATAAAACTAAGAGCTCCAAGCCAGTGGTTGGTCACAGTACCCTAATTTTAAACCAAAGCAAAGTTGACTCTGCGGTAGATAACCCAACAACATTTCGTAGGGTAGATTCACAAATCGCTCTTTTAAAGGACATAAATGTCTCCAATTATGAAGAAACAAGCAGGAATAAAACTAAGAGCTCCAAGTCTATGGTTGGTCACAGTGCCATAACTTCAAACCAAAGCAAAGTTGACTCTGCTGTGGATAACCCAACAACATCCCATAGGACAGATTCACACGTTGCTCTTTTAAAGGACACAATTAAGGTCTCCAATTATGAGGAAACAAAAAAGAACTCCAAGTCTGTGATTTTGCACAGCACCATCACTTTAAACCAAACTAAAGGTAACTCTTCTTTGAATAGGCCTGGTACAAGCAGCACGAACAGTACACTTTCTCCTCCTTTAAATTACACAAATAATGTTTCCAACCCAGATATGACAAAAGGGGACAAAATGAGAAATCCCACATCTGCAGATGATCATGGTGCTATAACTTCAAACCAAACCAGCATCGACCCAGCTTTGCATGACCCAACCGCAGCATGCAGGGACAATACACTTCCTGCTTCTTTAAAGGACCCAAATAGTGCCTCCATTTCCAAACCAAAAGAATTGAAAACAATGAAGAACTCTGAGTCTGAGGTTGGTCAAGGCGCCATAACATCAAACCTAACTGAAGCCAACTTTGCCTTGAATGACCCAAACACCTGCATGCATGATAGTCTTCCTTCTCCTTTAAAAGACATAAATAACGTCTCCAACTCTCATTCAACAAAAGGCAAAGAAATGAAAAATTCCACAGCTGTGCTTGGTAATGGCACCGTAGGGTCAGACAAGACTGACACCAACTCTACTATTGATGAGCCAATGGGAGTTTTTTGTGACGGTACACCTATGACTGGTACAAATACTATTTCTAATTCAGAAGAAACAAAAGTCCAAAAGCACAAAAATGCCAAGGCAAATCATGGCCCTGCTCAAATTGACTCTTCCTTGGATAACCCAAGAAGAGATTGCAGTGACAATGCCCCAGCCATTCCTGTAAAAAATACAGATAAAAAATCTGACACCCGGAGAAAGCGAAAGCGGAAGAGAGAAAGAAACCACAAATGTCCAGATTGCGGGAAGCTGTTTTTATTCAATGCACACCTGGTGGTGCATTATCGATCTCACACAGGAGAGAGGCCATTCCCATGTCTTGAATGTGGCAAAAGCTTTGCCTGTAAGACCAGGCTTTCAGCACATCAAGTTTTCCATTCCAAAGAGAAGCCGTATTCGTGCTCCGAGTGCAATAAAAGCTTTTATAACAGCACTCATCTCCAGGTTCACCTAAAAATCCATAAAAACGAACGACCTTATGTATGTGCCGAGTGTGGGAAGACATTTATCCACTCCTCAAACTATACCAAACATCTAGAGATTCACATGGGAGTGAAAAATTATTTGTGCTCTTACTGCGGGAAAAGTTTTCGGCAAAGTAGCCACCTCCGTTCTCATCAAAAACAGCATGCAGCAGACCATGGGTTTTCATGCCACAAGTGCCACAAAAAGTTTCAGACGGAAGGTGCCTTGATCTGTCACTATAAGTCCCACCGAATCACACCACTTTCTTGCCCTGAATGTGGCAAGCATTTTATCAACCGCGCGTCAGTTTCGACCGCCATCGGCGTATCCATACGGGCCACAAATTGCTGTCTTGTCCCGAATGTGGGAGATGCTTTATAAATAAAACCCATCTTTCTATCCACCAACGGACTCACTCAGGAGAAAAACCATTTGCATGCACAAGTTGCGACATGAGATTTAGCGATAAGTCGGCCTGTAACAGGCACAAAAGAAGGCACCTGATGAAAACTCTTGAAGAGCGCCCAGCAAATGCCAAAGGTTCTGAAAAGCACAAAAGCCCAGGCGTGGACGCCAAGGAATTTCAATGTCTAGAATGTGAAAAGTTTTACAAAACAGAGGAAAGGCTCTCAAAACACCAAAATCGTCACCATAGAGAGAGACGGTTTTCATGCGATGATTGTGGCCAACGTTTTACCAGTGAGGAACTGCTAGCCGCACATCAGGAGTGTCACCTAGGCGAAAAGCATTTTTCATGTTTGCAGTGTGGCCTAGGTTTCAAAACTCAACTGGAGCTTGAAACACATCAGAAAAGTCACTTAATAAAGGCGTTTTTATGCGGTGATTGCGGACGTCGTTTCGCCCTTGAGGAACACCTAGCCATGCATCAGAAAAGGCACCACGATGATGAACTATTTTCATGCGAAAAGTGTAACATAGCATTCAAATCTCAAGTGGAACTTGAAACACATCAGAAAATTCACCCAGAAAAGAAGTTTTCATGCGTCGATTGCGATCGTCGTTTCGCCAGCGAGAAACGCCTAGCTAAACATCAGAAAAAGCACCTTGGTGATCAACTATTTTCATGCGCGAAGTGCAACAGAGGCTTCAAAACACAGCTGGGGCTTGAAGCACATGAAAAAAATCACCCTGAATTGAACTTGGTTTCATGTCTTGATTGTGGTCGCTGTTTCACCAGCAAGACACTCCTAGCTGCACATCAGAAGCAGCACCTCGGCGAAAAAGGGTTTCTGTGTTCGAGGTGCAGTAAAGGCTTCAAAACCGAACATGATCTCAAAATGCATCAGAAAAATCACCCGGAAGCAAAGCCATTTTTATGCGGTGATTGTGGTCGGCGGTTTGCTAGTGAGGCGCTCTTATCTGCACATCAGGAGCGGCATGTCAGCAAAAAGCGCTATTTGTGTTTGGACTGCGGGCGCGGATTTAACGAGAAGTCGAATTTCGAAAAGCACCGTAGAGTTCACACAGGCGAGAGGCCTTATTCTTGCTCGGAATGCGACAAGACCTTCTCCGTCAAATCCAACATGATCCGCCACTGTAAAATTCACACTGGCGAGCGCCCTTTTAAGTGTCTGGAGTGCGGGAAAAGCTTCAGGATCAAGTCTAATTTCATCATCCACCAAAAAATTCACACTGGGGAACGAGAATATTGCTGTCCTCAGTGCCAAAAAACTTTTCGGGACAAGTCAAACTATCAGAGACACAAGAAGAGCCACTCGGCAGGCAAGCGGTTTACGTGCACCGAATGCGGAAAGAGTTTTTTCAGCCCCACTCAGCTGACGATACACGCAAGGACCCATTCGCGGCAAAAATTTGAGTGTGCTCACTGCGGGAAGAATTTTAAAAATAACTGGCGTTTAAACAAGCATTCAAAAACTCACAGGCTGGGTATTTTATCAAAAGGAGAAAAGGTGCCGGTGTAACTCATATTCAGCTGGCACACACTTTCCTATACCTGGCCATGAATTTAAAACCTACTTCGAGGGGCTGTAAAATGGTCCTATGCCAAAGGGTGGGTGCAAACCTTCCAAACTATAGAGTTTTCCTTAGTGCCTTCCATTGAATACATGCCTAGAATGCCTCCAGTTCTAGGCATGACTCTTTCCTGTGGACATCCATGGTGGAGAACTTCATGTAGCATTCAGTAGCTAGTCAGCCTGGTCTCAAAGCCAACTTGGAAGAACAAAATGTTCAATGAAAAGGTCTCAAAAAGGTTCCAGCTGTAATTTTTTTAGGAAATCTGGCCGTGCATATCTGGGTTAATAGCTAACTTTCATACAAGTGGTTCACAATATCTCCGGTGGAATGTTGCAACTCAAAGTAATCTTGGCTATCTTTCCAGAATGATGGTTTTATCTGAAAGAGTAAGACCATCAAACCTTTGGAGAAGCCTCTTTTTTTTTTTTTTTTTTTTTACACTTTTTCACCTTTCATCTTACCTCCAATACCTGTCACCATGCATGAGGATCACTTGGGTTGACTGGTTAATGGCAATGTTTAAACAAACTCTTCGAGATCCAATACGTGTTACTTTTGTATAGATCAAAACTTGTTCCTTTCTAAAAAAAAAAAACAAAACAAAAACTTTTGCTTAAAATGTATATAGAAATCATGGATTCAAGCCTCGTTGGTCATTACCTCATCCGCAGCAAGGCCTTCTTGCGAAACAGTTGTTTCGAAGTGTTAACAGGAGAAGGACACCACTCCAAAACCAGTGTAAACGTAGCAGTTATGCCTTAATACTAGAATGTGAACTTGTACCTATGAAGGAGTGGGCTCCATCAGCCGTCATCTACAAACCAAGTCCAAAACCATGAAGTGTCCTTCATGTCAACCTCTGATCCAACTTGCCAGTCTCATGCTTTGATATAGGCAACACCTCCACTCGACCTGACTGGTTTGGTGCTCACTGCTGTAAGGCATCGTCCATAATGTATGCAGTTAGTGTATTTACTTTTATATAGAAGCGGTATTAATATTTGCAAATACTGTCAGGTAAAAGTCTCCACATCTGTACAAAACTTGAGGCCTATCAAGGTGTGCTTGCCTTTGTCTGGTGCAGCCTAATGCTCCCCGTAATTCAGACTGGGTTCAAGCTGACAATTCCTGGGGCAGGAAGACAGCTGTGAATAGAAAAATGGTCCTCCTCTCAGGGTTATATTTTTAGATATGTTTCATGGTGATACGCCCCCGAGGACCCTTACGGCAATGCAAAATTTGAAGGGTGCCTAAGAGTTTGACCACCATATTAGCTCCCTTTTTTTTTTTAATTTACACTGAATTTTAATGTGGACTTAAGGGGAATTTACCCCCCATGTACACTGGATAATGTAAATATTACAGAGCAAAAGTATTTTTTTTTTAGCACATTTTTCACGATTGTTGCAGCTCTTTTTACAATTCTCAGAACAGTAGATTTGGGTGTTCTAGAGAAGATTTTATGTATTTACCGTAACATTTTATGTAAGGGCTTCTAAACTGTTTAAATAGTAATGGTTCCACTTGTGCAGTTTGACACCATCATTTGGCATTGTAATGGCAAAGGCAATTAGAGGCTAAGGCCGGCCATACATGGGTCGAAACCTAAGAATAATCGGCCGATTTTCGCTCTGTTAGTGGGTCAATGGCACTGGCCAATTTTCGTGGTTCCTCCCCTTTCTTGGCGATCGAGCATGTTGGAAAATTCGTGAAAAACAACCGATTTTCGACTCGATGGTCAAATCGTACGATCGTTTTCCGAAAATAATATGTGCATGAGCCGTGGCCTGGAAGGAACTGAAGTTTTGCATGGTATATGGGGTGAACTTTATGACTTGGCTGATTTTCGACATCAATGATGGCACCATCGGATTACCGAGCGAACGACGTTTCAGATTGTCAGACGAAAAATTCGTTCGGAATTCGAACCATGTATGGCCTGCATAAGCAACTTTTTGCAAAAATTTTATAAATGTACTTGAGGCTGAGGTCCGTACCGAGGGGCAAGACCTTCAGTCATGGAGAAGGAGGGAGGACGGCTGAACTACTAGTATGTGTTGCGTCACCACACTATTGTACCCAGCCGTCTTCATCCACCCTAGGTGCACAGATGTATGTCTTCTCAGCAAACGCACGTGTGTGTGTGGGGGGGGGGGGGGGTAAATGACGTTTTGAATAGGGATGAGCTCAAGTTTGGTTCAGACCCAGAAGAAAGCTGCCACGCCTGCCCAATCAAAGGGCATGTGCACAAAGGGACAGGGATGCTTGTATCATCAAATGGAGAATGCAGGCAAGATAGGACTTGCATAGTTACATCACATTGGAACCATCCACAGCCATACTATTTAAAAAAAAAAAAACATAATGAGGCACAAGATGCACCCTACAGTTCTGGTAAGGGACTGCTATATAGTTTTTGGGGTCATACAGTATATGCCATGATGCGGCAAGTTACACACTGAATATGATTGTAGCATGGTCCAAAAGGTGGACCTAGCCTAGCCTTTAAGCAGATAAAAGGGAATTCTTTTAGGGATAGTCAACAAGTTCTT